AGGTCGTGTAATCTAGGGGTATTTTGATCTTTCTTCTCATCCAAGACTATGTTTGACTAAAAGAAATGAGAACATTAAACCTAAAACCGAAGAAACCTCGCCGGCCCATGTTGGAACGAACGAAACGATGTAGCTTTGGCTTCCCATTCTCGTTGTTCGAAGAGCCATCTTCGAATATCGGAGGAGGAGGACGAAGCGCCTGGATTAAAAGAGAAGAGACAACCATAAAAAGATCAAAATACCCTTGGATTATATGGCCTCTTGACGGAAATATTAACGGTGGACTAAAAGTGGAACACATTCAATAACAGTGGTTGTAAAGTGGCAAAAAAAATTAAGGTGGACTAAAATTGGAAACGCCCCTATAACAGTAGGACCAAAAATGAAATTCGCTCAAAATTGACCCTAAGTCGAAACAATGCTAGAGTTGCATAATAAAATATTTTCATTAAGTAAAGTTAGCAATTAAGCAAAGTCGAAACAAATATTTGGACAGTGTTTTCATGCACTGTCCTTTCTAATTTTTCTTAATGAAAATATTTTATTATGCAACTCCTTCATGCCATGTGTATATATATTTTCAGGATGTACGATTCTTGATTAAGTTATTGCAAAGTTTACGAAAGAATTTTACATACTAAAAATCTCAAGTTACTCCCTTGGTGAATTTGTCATAAAAATAACTTGAGAAATTTGATATCTTCTTGTATTTCAAAAGTTATGGTTTGATTACCATTATGTTTAGTAAGGGAAATCAGAAACTTTTAGGATGATGTGTTTTACATACTTGAAGACTGTCAAGTGTTCTCTTGTTTGTACTGAGTCACAGGTTCCTTATACAAGACTCAGGTTACTAACAAGTCATACGAAGATTATTGAATTGCTTTTGAAATTGAAGAACCTTGAAATAGAATGTTAGGAAGTTGAAAATAATGTTGCAAAACTGGTTTCAGTATAAGAAAGTGAAAAAAATGTGAATTTCCTACTTTACCCCTAAAATTTTAAATATATTTTAATTTTTCCGTCTGTTTTAACCGTCAGGGACCAAATACGCCATTTTGCTCATAACTGAGGGACTAAAAATAGATACGGTCATAACTCAGGGACTGATTTGTTACTACCATTATAACTCAGGGACCAAACTCGCCATTTTCCCAAGTGATTAATTGGGAAGTGATTGTAAATTCAAACTATTTTGACCGTTAGTCAAAATTATCGAGAATGATTTTTATGAATTCAAAAGTGGTTGGGAAACTTATTTTTAATAAAAATTCCTAACTCTCCAACCACTTATGAGGTGTTTGGTAGGTTGGAATTAAAATTTCATTACCACCAAATTTCATGAAAAATACAATTTCATTACTTGGTTGAGGGAATTGCAATTATATTCCACAGAATTGCAATTCTCTCCAACATTGGAATTGCAATTCTTATGTCTCCCCCCGGAGTTGGAATTTCACAGCGCACAGAATTGGAATTCCACAGCAAATGACAAATTTTTTTTTATTATTAGTATTATTATTAAATAAGGGCATTTTAGTCTTATTCACTTCTTCACTTTCAATTTCCTGTAATGCTATTTGTGCCTAACAAACAATTGAATTTGAATTCTATTTTATTTTCACCTTATTCTTTTACTATGAAATTACAATTCCTTTCCCCGGACATAATTTCATGAATCAAACAATGAAATATTACATTTTAGTATTTATATTGCTAAAGTATTTGTTTCTCTATATAATATTAACCAAATGATCTATTAGAGATATGACAAAGTATCACATATGCAAGCTAGGGGCAACATATGGAATGTTTAGTTTTTTTTTTTTTTTTTTTTTTTTTTTTTTTTTCCTTAAAAAGAGGAAAACACTCCTAACATATACTCATAACTATTTTTATATTTTTCTTTTGGTAAATAATGTGTTAATTAACTTGATTGACTCACGTGTAAAAAAACTAAAAACAAGTATAATTAAGGAGTGAATTCCATTTTTGGTCCTACTGTTATAGGGGTTATTCCAATTTTAGTCCACAATAATTATTTTTGCCACATTGCGTCCACTATTATTAAAAGTGTTCCAATTTTAGTCCACGAAAAATCTAAAAATGGACTAAAATTGGAACACTTTTAATAATAGTGGACGCAATATGGCAAAAATAATTATGGTGGACTAAAATTGGAAAAGCTCCTATAACAGTAGGACCAAAAATGGAATTCACTCTAAGTAATACTAGTATAAGGTTAAGACGAAAACTCTCTCTATCTAGGGTTTCTAGGGTTCCGGTCGCTCCTTCGACAATTTTCTCCGGTGACTTCCGGTTTCTTTGCTCTCACCGACGAACGGCAAGAGTTTCGACAGCAGCTTCGCAAGGCTCCTTCGTGATACGGGGCAGTGTGACGTTTTCGTATAGCAGCTGCGATGGCAGGGCGTACGGCGGTGGCAGGGCTCACAGCTAGAAGGGCCGATTTGGTTTTGGAGGAGGAGGAGGAGGGTTTCGTGCCACGAGTGGAGGACGAGGGTGACGGGCAGGACGCCGGCGTGGAGGAGGAATCATGGGGGGTGGTAGGCCGTTTCTTAACATGGAAGCTTGTTAAACTTGAGTTTATGAGTCAGGTAATGGCATCCGTCTGGCAACCGGTAAGTGGTGTCCAGGCTTCTGAGATACAACCAGACCTGTTTCTTTTCGTTTTCCATCACATAACGGATGTGCAGCGAGTCCTTGATGAGGGGCCATGGTCTTATGATAATAGCACGTTTGTCTGTAAGCAAGTTCCTGATGGTGTTCTGCTTGTCAATGTTAAGCTGGACACAGTTGATATGTGGGTACAGATCCATGAGTTGCCCACATGGTATACGTCCGAGTTGATCCAAGAACAGATTGGGAAATATCTGGGAGTGTTTCTGAAAAGAGATGACCGTTTTCAGAATATGCCATGGAAAACGTTCTACCGGATTAGGGTTTCGTTATCGGTTGATAAACCATTGAAATGCCGAATGAATTTTATTTCAAGTAAGAGCGACTACATAGTACATACATATTGTTTTTTCTGTGGAATGCTTGGCCATGCCTACCAGTTTTGTCGTGGTGCGAGGGATTCGGTGGTGCCGGTAGAGGACTACCCGTATGGACCGGAGTTACGGGCAGGAGGGAGCCGGGGACCGAGGCCGGTTGGTGGTAGTTGGCTTTTACCGCCGCCAACAGTGGCGCGGGGTACAGTTCCGGTGGAGGGGAGATCCGGGGAGGGGCAGCGAAGGGTTGAAGGGGTTTTGGCGGGTAGGGATTCCGAGGAGGAATCTGTTGTGGTTGCCGCGTCCAAGCGACGACGTGAGGTCTCGGGAGGTGGGAGTGCGAGATAAGGAATAGATGGGAGTGATGTTGTAATGGCAGATTTTTCAAAAAACTTGCAGCAGGCGGGCACTGGTTCCCAGGCCCGCCCGAACCAATGAGTACCCTAAGTTGGAACTGCCGTGGCTTAGGCAATCCACGGACAGTTCGAGAAGTTGTGGACATAGTGTCCAGTAAGAAGCTGGATTTTGTATATTTAATGGAAACTATGGTTGGACGGGAGCATGTAGAACGCCTCTGTATCAAACTAGGTTTTGAAGGATTATTTTATGTGGACAACGAGGGGAATGTTAGCTGCTTAGCGTTGCTTTGGAGGAAAATAATACTGCTACCCTCCTGAGTTACTCTAAGAATCATGTGGATGTGGAAGTTCGTATGGGCAGTGATACGGTTTGGCGAATGACGTGTTTTTATGGTTTTCCAAAGCGAGATAGAAGAAGGGAATCGTGGGAGCTACTGGGAACGCTAAGTGGGAGATCCCCACTCCCTTGGGTTGTAATAGGGGATTTCAATGATCTCCTGTACCAGCACGAGAAGAGGTGGGGGGGGGGGAGAACCCGCACCCAAGTAGTCTCCTTCGCGGTTTCGGGGAGGCAGTGGATGGGTGTGGATTGGCGCAGATGGCTATGAGGGGCCATCAGTTTACCTGGGAGAAAAGTAAAGGCACAAGCAATTGGATTGAGGAAAGATTGGATAAGATTTTGGCAACGACATCATGGGGGGATGTCAATCACCATGCAGTTGTATAGAACATTCTGACTCGTACATCAGACCACTCGGCTCTATTCCTCAGGATCAATGCGCCATGCATGCAAAGGGGAAGGGGCCCGAGAGGTTTCAAGTTTGAGATGGCCTGGTTGATTGAAGAGGGGTGTAGGGAGGTGGTTGAGACTGCTTGGCAGGACCGACGGACTGAGGGTTTGCTGAATTGTCAGCAATATTGTGGACACAGTCTGATGCAGTGGGGCGGGGATCATTTTAAGAAATTTGGAGACCGTATTAAGCAGCTGCGTATGAAACAAGATGCCATTAGGCACAGGCGTGATCCGGATGCGATAGCTGAATTTCAGAATCTCGAGATTCAGCTATCCCAGCTGGAAGCCCAAGAGGATATTTTTTGGTGGCAACGAGCAAAGCAACACTGGCTACGTGGAGCTGATGCTAACAAAAAGTTTTATCACAACTATGCCTCTGCCCACAAGAAAAAGAACTTTATTGCCAAATTAAAAAATGATGATGGGGACTGGGTGGAGGGGGAGAATATGAACTCGGTTATTTTGAAATATTATGAAGGGATTTTTGCCTCTAGTAATTATGTATGCAGTGATCCTTTGTTTGATGATTTTTCTCCACGTGTTACCCCGGCCCATAATACTGCCATGTTGCGCCCTTTTGATATTGATGAGGTTAAAACGGCTGTATTGTTTCCTGATAAAGCTCCGCGACCGGATGGATTGAATCCCGATTTCTATCAGCATTTCTGGGATGTAGTTGGGGTGGATGTGTCTTTGTTTATTGTAAACTCTCTCAACTCGCGTGTTCTCCCGCATGGTTTAAATGATACGAATGTAGTTCTGATCCCAAAGAAAAATGTGCCTGAGGCAGTAGGGGATATGCGACCGATTGCTCTGAGTAATGTGCTCTAAAGAATTATGGATAAGATGATAGCCAACAGGATGAAACCACTTATGGGAGATCTAATCTCGGAGTCCCAAAGTGCTTTTATTCTAGGCAGATTGATTACAGATAATATTCTGGTAGCCTCGGAGGTTGGTCACTTTTTAAATAGGAAGCAATGCGGTAAAGTTGGGTGTGGAGCTTTGAAATTGGATATGGCAAAGGCGTATGACAGGATGGAATGGCCGTTCTTGAAAAGAATGTTAGAAGTAATGTGTTTTGATAAGGGATGGATTGATCTGATTATGGTATGTGTAACGACTGTGACATATAATATTGTGGTAAATGGTGTGCCTAAAGGACAAATAGTTCCTACTCGGGGACTCAGACAGGGTGACCCCCTCTCTCCCTATTTATTCATTATTTGTGCAGAAGGATTATCTTTGCTGTTACAAAAAGCTCAATTAGCAGGGTCAATACATAGATGTAGAGTAGCTAGAGGGGCACCCCCAGTGTCACATCTTTTCTTTGCAGATGATAGTCTATTGTTTTTTAACGCAAATTTGCAGGAGTCCAGTGTGATTAAACAGTGTCTGATGAGGTATGAGAACTTGTCTGGTCAGATGGTAAATTATCATAAATCTAATATTTGTTTCAGCAGGAATACCACGTGGGAGGATAGAGATGTGGTGGCAAATTGTTTAGGGGTGGACCAGGCACCAAATTTTGGTAAATACCTTGGTCTGCCATCCTTCATTGGGAGGAATAAAAGGGCAGTTTTTTCCTATGTAGAGGATAAAATTAGACAGAGAATTGCGTCGTGGAACAAAAAACTGTTGTCTCAAGCTGGAAAGGAGGTACTTTTGAAAAGTGTGGCCCAATCTATGCCTACCTTTTCAATGAGTATTTTATTGCTGCGTGAATCGGTTTGTTTATCTATTGAGAGGACAATGAACAAATACTGGTGGGGAAGGGGGTGGAGAGAAGAATCCATTGGAAGACCTGGGACAAGTTGTGTGTCCCTAAAAAATATGGGGGTTTGGGTTTTAAGGATCTTCGTTCTTTTAACATGGCTATGTTGGGAAAACAGGCATGCAGATTTCTTACTAATCCAACCTCTCTTGCAGCAAGGATATATAAGGCTCGTTACTACCCGGCAACCTCTTTTATTGATGCTAGATTGAGAAATTGTCCGAGTTACTGTTGGCGGAGTATAATGGCTGCACATGGTATGGTTTGCTCTGGGGTTCGGAGAAGAATTGGAAATGGGGAAACAACTTTGATCTGGGGGCACCCCTGGTTACCTAATGATCCAAGCTCTTTAGTATAGACAATAATGCTTGAGGAATTGCGTGAGGCTAAGGTGGTGGGTTTGATTGATCAGCAAACAAACTTGTGGGATCCCCATATTCTAAGTGATTTGTTTGAACCTGGGGATGTGGTTCGTATATCTAGGATCCCTATTAGCCCGGATTATGAGGACTCATGGTATTGGTATATGGATCAAAGGGGAATGTATTCTGTAAAGAGTGCATATAGACAGATTGTTGGAGATTTTGAGCATAATCCTGGTGCCTTTGATAAATGGATTACATTATGGAAATTGAAGGTCCCCCGAAATGGAAGACTTTTTTGTGGAGAGCTTTATGTGATATCCTCCCTACCACAAACAACCTGATTATAAAGAGGGTGGAAGTAGATCCAACATGCCTTATGTGTGGTTTATCTCATGAAGATGTTATGCACACACTTATTTCTTGTGACTATTCAAAATTAGTGTGGAATATTTCGGGTTCGCCTGTTACAAATATTGTTGCTACTGCTTTTCCAGTATGGCTAATGGGTACTATGGCAAACTTAACAGAGGAGCAGTTTGGTATGACGGTTGCGGTCCTTTACCACTTATGGAGCGCCCGAAACGATGCCGTATGGAGAAGGGCCCTGCCACGCCCAACCGCCACATGGAGGAGATTCGCTGCTGCCATGGCAGCCTATGCCGAGGCGGGAACCGTGTCGCACAACCGGCTGCACCACTGCCGCAAGGCCGGCCACGCTGCTACTTCGATGGGGGATACCGCCCGCCTCGGGCGACGCAACCTACGGTGTTGTACTTTTACATCCGGATGGCTCTTTCAAAGAGGCAAAAAATGGCAAACTCCCGGGTTGTTTCTCACCCCTTATGGCAGAGACTCTTGCATGTAAGGAAGCATTATCATGGCTCAAGGAGCGTAACGAATTGGATGTGGATCTGTTGACTGATTGCTCAGAACTCCGACACCATTTACTATCTAGTCCTACGACCATCCTATCTTATGTAGAGGTGGTGGAGGACCAATGCCGGGCAACTATAGCTCTTTTTTCATATTGCTCTTTGAATGTTATTTCTAGATTAGTTAATGTTAATGCTCATACTTTAGCTAGGTAGCTTTTGATCATGAACACTCTATGTACTGGGACTATAACCCCCATGACTGTTCGGCTTCTCTCATTATTTAATAATATGCCATTGCCCTTTGGCTTTCAAAAAAAAAAAAAAACTTGATTGACTCTAAAATGTTCTTAGTTAAGGTCATAGCTCGATCTCCACTAAGAAGAATTTCTTGCTCCCTTTTAGTTGTGGATCGGAGTATATTACTTTTAATTTGAAAATGATTATTAATTTTGAATTTTGAGTTATTTCTATTTTTGGTCTAGATTTATAGTTGGTGGTCCACTTTAAGTTCTTTTTTATCAAAATATTCACTTTTGATCTTAGTATTATTGTGACATGATTTTTTGTCCTTTATCAACAAGGCAGTTTAAATATCGTTAAATACAATAGTATTTCAGTCTTTAATTATGAATTTTTCAAAAAATAAACATATAAAATATTGTGGTTCAACAAACTTTTTATAATAAAGATTGAAATGTATTTGTATTTAAAACTATTTCAACGATTTTGTTGATGGAAGACTAAAAATGGTTATGCCATAATAATACTCGGACCAAATTGAAGATTTTCTAATAAAAAAAAAACTAAAAATAGACTGTCACCTATAAATCTAGGTTCAAAAATGGAATTAAATCTTTTAAGTTTTATTTTTTGAGAGTGATTCAATCACCATAGTTAACAGTACGGATTTCATCTAATCCAACTAACTTATAAAAGACAATGCAAATTATGTCATTGAATTATATATATATTTTTTATACTTGTCAAGTTTACATAATTATATTAAAGATATTGTACTTTAATCTGTTAAGATAGAATTACCCTTACACTATTAAATATTCTGGTAGTTAAGTATTAATTACTAAATCAATTACCTAATTGTATTTATCTTAAACATGTTACTTTCCAAAATAATTTATCTATTTTTTTTGGGTGCAACAGAGGGACCAAGGTCCTATAAATTAGTAACTGCGCCTAGTAGCCATGCCTCGCGGTCGCGGATCCTGCTCCATAAGGGCAGAAATGCCATCAGGAGGATCTTTCAAAAGATGAGTATCCCAATCACCATGTTGCCTGAGGTTGGCGAGAAAGTCAGCATATTTATTACCTTCACGGAGGGTGTGGATGAAATTCCAGGATTTGCCCAAGAATGAACTTGCAGTCACGAATCAAAGTATCCGCTTCCGGTCTGAATCCGTTCTCGCTCTTGACCGCGTTAATCATAGCTTCGGAGTTCGTCTCGATAATGACTTTATTCATGCCACGATTAAGAACAAGACAAAGCCCATCCCTCAAGCCCCAGAGTTCAGCAATAAAACTGCTCGTGCACCCAATAATCTTGGTGATGAAGCCTACAACCTAGGACCCGTTATGGTCCCTAATAAGACCCCCCACACTCGCCATTCTAGAGTTGGCTTTGCGGGCCCATCCGTGTTGACTCGTATACTCCGGCACCTGCGGACACGAATGTCTTCCAGAAAGTTGACTGGCATTGCAGATTAAGTTATTTCAAACTTCCGTATCTTTTTTCCGGCCAAGCTAACCAGAATCGTTGGCGAGCCGTTGGCTCGGCTCGCAACCTTTCGGGCACCTCGTCTCGTCTCGTAGTACGACTCGAAGAGCGACCGTTCTGAATCTTGATTCATCTGTTATGAAATTAATCTTGAATTAATTCTAATTTTGAATTATAAAATTAATTCTCAGGTGAATGGTCAGTTGTTACCGGGTTTATTTTGACTGGCTTAATATTAGTTTTAATGTCATTGTTGAATGCGAATTCGTCTTCTCCTATATATATTTGTGGATGAGCAGGAGACTTCACAACACTGAAAAATTTAGCTTTCACTTCTCAATTCAAAACCCCGCTCTTCTTTCCTTCTTGCCATATGTGTTCTTCCCATGTTCTAGTTCGCCGGATTCCATTGTTTGAGTGCTCAAACTTGAAATTGTAGTACATTTTATCTTGGGAAACCTAGGCTGTAATAATGCTCCTAACACCTTTGGGATGCAACAAATAAGGTTTTATGGAGAGAGTGCAACTCGACTCGTACTTATAACCTAGCCATAAATTCCCTTTCGTCCCCCTGGTTATTATTTCCAATTTTTCTCAGAAAAATTAATAATCATTTTTCTGTAGATTATTATTGAGTTTTCGACCTTATTTGCCAACATGTCTAACCACCTCAGACGGAGAAGTGATTTTGCTGCTGAATATCCAATCGTTCCTGGACTTCCAGATCTGCCAGAGGATGTAGGGGAATGTGTAGAATATAAATAAACAACAAGAAGAAGAAAAACTAATATATTATGTCTTGTGTAAACTTCAATACAAGCACTTGTATATATAGTGCTAACAAGATGATGAAAAATAAATACAAATGAGAAAACAAAGAGACACATGAAAAACCCAAGAGACACATGGGAGACCCAAGAGACATACCGAAAACCCAAGAGACACATGACTACTAATATAGATGATTAATATCATCAAATATCTCAACACCTCCCCTTAAGTTGGAGCATGCGGATCTGAAATGCCCAACTTGCGAAGAAGAAATTCAAATTGCTTTTGCCCAAGAGCCTTTGTGAAGATATCAGCTAATTGTGAATTGGTAGGAATGTAGGAAGGGAAGATCAAACCATCTTTAATTGCATCGCGAACAAAATGACAATCCACTTCAATGTGTTTTGTGCGTTCATGAAAGACTGGATTCTTTGCAATATGAAGGGCCGACTGACTGTCACAAAATAACTTTATGGTTTTGGGATGATGAACCCCCAGACTTAACAACAAGCCCTTTAACCATTTGAGTTCACAAGTAACGGCTACCATGGATCTGTATTCTGCTTCTGCGGAAGAACGAGAAACAGTAGTTTGCTTCTTTGTTTTCCACGAGATTGGAGAATGGCCAAGAAAAACCAACCAACCCGTAAGCGATCGCCGAGTAGTAGGACATGCGGCCCAATCCGAATCACACCATCCCTGTAGCGTTAGATCAGTGTCTGCTCATAGGAGAATCCCTTAACATGGTGTACCTTTCAAATAACGGACAACTCCCAAAGCCGCCTCCCATTCCTCATCATGTGGTTCTTGCATGAATTGAGACAACACATGAACAGAGTATGCGAGATCCGGTCGAGTTACGGCTAAGTAGATAAGTCTTCCAACTAGACGTCGATAAGCTGCAGGATTAGAGAAAATTGGGCCACTAGCTAGGCTGAGTTTGTGATTTTGCTCAATAGGAACACTAACCGGCTTGGCCCCCAACAATCCTGCTTCAGAAATAATATCAAGAGTATATTTCCTTTGACACAAAAATAGTCCAGAAGCGCTACGAGAAACCTCAATACCAAGAAAGTACTTTAGAGTGCCGAGATCTTTCATATGAAAACAATCGCTGAGATAAGCCTTAAATGTCTTTAGAGCAGGAGAATCATTCCCAGAAATGATGAGATCATCGACATAAACAAGTACATTTATCTGAATTCCACCCCGAGTAAAGGTGAATAAGGAGTAGTCGGAATAAGATTGTAAGAAACCATACCCTTTCAAGGCCGTAACAAGTTTTGCAAACCAGCACCTCGGTGACTGCTTTAGTCCATACAAGGACTTGCGCAATCGACACACTAATTTAAGATCGGATGCCTCAAAGCCTTAGGGAAGCTTCATATAAACCTCTTCATCGAGATTACCGTGCAGAAAAGCATTGTGCACATCCATCTGATGTAGTTCCCAATTTTTAGATGCTGCAATGGCAAGAAGTGCACGAACAGTAGTCATTTTGGCAACCGGAGCAAAAGTTTCAGTGTAATCGATACCTTCTTCTTGATGATTATCAAGAGCCACTAATCTTGATTTGAGTCTTTCAATCGACCC